CAACTGTTTTCCTTAAAGGAAAGGTGAGGAATAACTCAACCAAATATGGTACAGATGAAGTGAAAAAAGTGAAAAAAGAAAAAAGTAGATGACATACCAGTGTTCCTTAATGTCTAAATTAATCGGTTCTACCAGTTCCATATAGCGAATTTACTTGTCTGAAGAGAAGAAAAGGTCAGCATTTCTTCTGTTATCTGTGGATCTGAATATTTGAGGAATAATTTAATTTTGTGAAGAGTTTTAATGCATATAAAACCTTCTAAAAGAACCCTGCAAGACTGCAAAATTGTTTCCAAATAAGATTTACACTCATTGTACATTAGAATATGTATTCCTGACCTTTCAGTATATGTTAACTTTTGAAGAGCTTTCAGAAACCTGATTGCAGATAATTTCTATAACTACAAGATTGTTGCTGGTAAGTAGAGTCTATGATTACTGCAAGGAGATGCGTTACAGCGTTTGCATGGAAGCAAATAAAACTTGACTAAGGACTTCTCAGATAAAAAGGCAGATGTATTGTTCATATTGTGTATTGGCTGAGAGAAAGAATGGGAGCATTGAAACTGACACTTTCCAGATGGGTCAAAACCATGATGAAAGTAACAGACCAGAAAGCAGGGGGGATGCCCAGCAGGATGGAAGTGCATTTATGGCATTCTCGTAGGTAGACAGAAATGGAGCATTAATGACAAAATCTGCCTTGCAGCGGTTTGGGCTTCTGTCCATTCCTTTACCAAATGTTATAAGTTTAAAATCTCTGTTTTTCAGTTGTTTTTTTCAATCCTTGTAATCTACAGGCAGCTCAGAACTTCAAACTCTTAATTATTAACTTCTCATTTTAATGTTAATGTTATGCATCCCATCTTTTCACTGCAGTTTCAGGCATTTCCCTTTCTAACCTGACGTAGACTGCCACAGTGTCAAGATGCTCATCATTATTCATACTCTGAAAAGTAACAGTTTGCCCAGACCTTCTCCAGGGATGTAGAATTGAAACTGCACACAGCAATACCGTTTCCATGCATTAAGCTGTATATAGAGATCTCTAATATAGGGATACTGATGCTAAAAACTATGATGACTAAACTGTAGCAGCCAGTGGAGCCCGCATCATGCTTAGTTTGGGAAAGTTCACTTGTTTGTGGTGTTTTTTTTTTTTCTTGCTAAAAATCAGTTTTTATTATTTTCATCAAGATTGCTTCTGGGCTTGTGAAAATTGGTTATTGGACTTCCCTACAACATGTGCAACTGTTGCATTCCACGTTTGCCAGCCAAGAAGATACTGTTAGGATATTACTACTGCAAAAATACTATGCTTTTCTGATGATCTAGAGAATTTTTCTTGAGCTAACTGCTAAATTGCTGTGGTTTTTATGAATTTCCTGTTTTTGAGTGCTTCTGAAGCATCAAAGAGAAGGTGGCAGGGAAGGAACTGCATAAAAGATCAGACTTTCCATACCTGGCAAGCATCTAACAGACACGTCAAATTTAGCACAACAGTTATGTACTGATTAATGTCTCAGTGTTTATAGATCTACTTACATATTGCTAAAGTTATATAGAATACCCAGAAAATCTCAAAGGAAGGTACTTATTTATCAAACCAAAGATAAATCAAATTTTTTCTGTTATGATATGGGAAGGAACCAAATTTGCAATATATAGAACGCATACAAGCGTTTCCTAAATGTCACATTCAAATGTTCAAGTAAATATCCATATCATGTTACATTTTAAAATGTGAATGAGTTCTCAAACATAGTTTCTAATTTATTTGTTTGCGTTTCTTTTTGTTGCTATTTGTTTAAAAATACTTGTTCATTCCTAGTTTAGCATAAAGACTAGGAGTCCATTATACCTGTGGCAAATTTTGCTGCTGTGCAAAATGTACAAGTAAGAGTTAGCCCTGCAACAAAGAAACTGGTTTATATCTTCTAAGAATAGAAAGAGGGAGGAGCAGTGTTGTTTGCTTTTGAGTTTTGGCTGATGAAATTCAAGTGTGTTTGGTTAGTTATTGAGATGGACATTCTGAGATGATTTGTCTTTTTGAGTCAGAATACTGAGAGTAACTTTATGTTTTTGAATAACATTAACAAAAGTCACTGAAAATAATGTGCCTCATATTTTAGGTGCTGCATTTTAAATAACTTGGAAAATGTAAATATATCTATAGGAATGCATTTAGAAATGCATTTGTGTGTTTGTTATTATTCAGAATATTACTTCCTGTTGTTATTTGACATCTTTCTTCCTCTCTCTCCCAGATATGCTAGTTCTGCCATTGACCGTCAAGGAAGTACATCCATGAGGAAGGTAATGATTTTCAAAAGAAAACATAAGCCTAAGGATAATTTCTAAATTCAGAGTAGTATCTACTGCAACCATAGTTGGCTGAAGTGTGTGCGGTACTTTTGATTAAGTTTAATAGGAACCTTATTAGATCTACTAATGGAAGTATTGGTTTTGGGAGGAGAACTGTAGTAAACTCTAGTTTGGAAAGGGACATCTTCCAATGGTGTCCTAAAGGAAAAGAAAATTTTAAAAACTCTTAAGATATTTGAATAGCACACATACTCTGACAAGGATTTTTATTATCTAGATTTTCAGTGTTTTATAGTGCCGATTTTGAAGGTCTTTAACAGAAAATATCTAGACTTCATAGTCATTTTTTATTTTGTCAAGTATTTCATTAAAAAGACAAACAATGCAACCTTCAGTTATAGAATATCTTTCCTTCACTCTGACAAGACTTCTTTTGCTAAGTGGATAAGCTGTAATCTGCTGTAAGCTAACAGATGTCATTCTGCCTCCCAAGGATGTTAAGGATTCACACAGCAATGTTCAGTATCAGTGGCCATAGCAAAAGACATATAACTAAGTATTCTGCAGTTTTCCTCTACCTGCCAATCCCTACCTTGTGTGCTGCCTCCCTTGAAAAGCACTTAAACCCGTTGCAGTTCCTTGGGATCACAGTACTACAACTAATCTAATAGACGTAACACGAGGAAAACAGCACTACATGCTCCCTGATTTGTGTATTTTGTTCTATGAATGCACCAGTTGCTATGTTCTGAACTTGTTAAAGTTTTCCTCAAAATTGCAGAGGTATGTGCTACCAGGCTTGCATTAATGACTTAGTTCCTTTCATGCTGACAGGTGACTGAATATCTAGTTCTCCAGGGCATTTTTAAAATGAAACCTAACTTTTCATTTGGTGATTCTGTGACACCTAAACAGCATTCTTACTGCTTCACTGTGAATGTACTGAGGTCTCACTGATTTAACTTCATATAGCAGAGATTCAATTCTATCACCATTTTTCCATGGCGTGCTTCTTGTTGACTGAGGTGGGAGTAGGGACATGCATTTTCTTTGACATTCTGCTGCACGTTGTGGTTTTGAGTCAGGAGGTTAAATGCGTACAACCACAGTATGTGCTCCAGTCATCAGCCTTTTTCCCGTAGCAACTTTGACTCACGCTAAGTTGCAAGTTCTGACTGCTTTCTTATGCTGTTTACCACAAAGTTAATTATAAGTTAGTTTCTTTATCTCTCGAAATATGAATTGAATGCAAGTTATTGAATGCAAGAATGCAAGTACTAGTTGAACTTTTGTTTGCAAGCAATTGCAGGTCTTTCACTTTCTCTATTTTTCTTGCTTTTAATACATTGCACATATGCATGAACAACACACAGTGAGATTAAGTAACTTACATTTTTGGAAGAGCAAATATTTTCAGTTCTTGTTTAGTTGAACTTTATTTTTAAAACTGTTATACTGAATGATACATACCACTTTCTGGTGCGTATTCTAAAGCAGGTATCTTCCAGCTGTTCATTTTCTTGAAGTTCTGTGATTAGAATTTTCAGATGTGATTAGATTTATAGAATTCTACCTCACTGAAGTATTTTTTTAGCCTAAATTGTGGAAAATTTTGATGATTTTTCTTGCAGGAACAGAAAACTGCTCTATGCTAATGCATTTCTATGCAGAGGGAGGAAGGCTAAACAGGTTGTTTCAGTCACAGTCACTGCAGAAGCCCAGTTGGGACAATATGACTGACTGGTTCTGCTGCTGGGGCTTACAGTGCATTAATAAAAAATCAGTTTTGCTGTGCATCTTTAATACTTTCTCATGGACTTAGGTCTGTTCTTCTATTTCCTGATTGTTTTTAACTATGTTTCCTATAGTACAGGAACAAGCATTAATCCTGTCTTCTATAGTTCTCAAAAAAATAGATAAATCTGCAGCTGTCTTAGAGTGATACTATGCATGTACGCTTACAGAGCTTGTCACCTGTCAGACATGCAAGCTGGTGTTCTCCAAGCCAACTCTCTCAAAAATAAGGAAGTGTCCATGGCATTCAGTAGTGTAAGCTGGCTGTTATTACAGGAAGGCTAAAAGTAGGCATGGATGTGTGCAGAACAACTCCTTCCCCCTTTATTCTTATTTGAAACTAAACTTTGCCTGTATCTTGCAGGTAGTTGGGGTCCTGTTTTCAGATGTTTGTTTCTTACAGTGCTTAAATTGAAATCCTCCATTCTAAATATTAATTTCTAAATAATAATTTATTACTGTTAGTTATAATCCTCAGTTATTTTAATTTTAGTATTACGATATTTACTCTTAACATGTTGTTTGAGAGTTGCTTATAAGAACTTTGTCACAAGCATTTGCTTTTTGAGCGTAGTAATGCACTAGTTTATATCCTCAGTTTTCAAGTTACTGCATATGCATTTGACCAAAGAATCCTAATGATCTGATTGCAAGATGTGTAATGAATAAGAGAAAATATGAGATTTTAATTAGTAGCCTTACCACTGTTTTCTTTCTGATGTTTATATTAGTAATAAAAAGAAATAAAAATAAGATCCTATGATAACTAATCCTAAGATAACCATGGCAATGGTAGTGAAAGCTAGTTCATGTTAGTGCTATCACCTGCACTAATTTTTTATAATCGTCTTTTTTTTGTTTTTTTTTTTCCTTTCTTACAGTCATTCCATTACGCTTCTCTCAGGGTAAAATCCAGAAAATGGTCAAAAGGTAACTTCTTCAGATTAACATTCTGAAAGCAGAAAATGAGAGTTCTTAACTGATAATAACCACTGTTGATCAAATGCCAAAGTTCATCTTAATTTCAGTATTTCTAAATTTGATAGTAAATACCAAAGTAAAGAAACAAATGTTTTAAGGTAGCATAGATATAATGTTGCTAGACTCAGTGGTAAAATTTCTCTGAGTTAGGTAGCGGAAAAGTAGTTTTTGTATATTTTGGCATTTTCTCTTGCTCTGATTTTTTTCCATTCATAGCCCGTTTGAGACTGTTAAAACAATAAATTGAAGAAAATTAGTTACAGCATAATAAATTCATTTCAATTTATATGGCAGTGAAATCTTTACTGTCATGTTTTAGTGTCCTAAAAAAATTTTCCTTTATTTTTACCAGCCAATTTTAATGCTTCAAACTGGGCACAGCACAGTACATTATTCTAATAAGAGTTAAATATTAAGAGCTTGATTGGGGAATGTTGAAGAACAAAGGATGATCTTTTGATGTCATCTGAACTTCTTAATTGCTTCACATTTGTAGCTTAAATGTAATTATTATAGCAACACAGACTTGATTTTTCACAGAAAAAAATGTCTAAGATTTAAATGAAATTTCCTACAAGATCTTTTTAAGGAAAAATGATACCATAACTATGAAAACTGTTCTTGATAATGCAAGAAAAATTGCAAAAGGCACTAAATTTTTAAGCCTTTTAATTAGAATATGTTGAAATAGAACAACAAAAAGAAGAAAGACAACAGCAAAATAACTAACAAACAAAACCCAATACCTTTCTTGATACTGTTAATTCAAACTCGATCCAATGGGGTTAAAATAGTATTGTGCCATTAAATTCAGTACAGGAGAAATGTACACGTGCATTTTTATGAATATGGATTTTTCTTTCTTATAGATTATACTAACTATGAAAAATGAACTAAAAATCTCCCAGAATTTGACAGGTCTCCTAGTGCAAACAGTAGTAACAGAAGATACGGAGAAAGTAGTGTTTACAACCACATACAGATTATGTTTATTTAAATGAGTTTCAGGTTCAAGACTAAATCAAGTATGTTTTTTGCTTAGAAATGATGATGACCATCCTAATCAGTCCTAAGAGAAACAGATCTTCTAGAGATTAAATAAGCCATTACTTAAAAAGGTTATTTTTTTGTTATGTATTCATGCAGAAACCAAAATTGTAGGGCATTTAAATTGATTCATCATTTAAAATTAGTAATGTGGTCATATTGAGAAGAATAGCATTCAGAGAGATGTCTCATACTACTGTTGTGTTCTCAGGGAGCTCTCTGACAAGTGGAAGCAGAAGACGAATTTCCTGCAAAGATTTGGGGCATGGAGATTGTGAAGGCTGGCTGTGGAAGAAAAAGGATGCCAAAGGTTACTTCACACAGAAATGGAAAAAGTACTGGTTTATTTTGAAGGATTCTTCCTTGTACTGGTACACAAACCAGAATGTAAGTATACTCTGTGTTTGGAGAAAGCCTAAATTAAACCTTAATTTTTATCATTCTTTTGAGTGAAGTCAAAAATATTAGAGAATAGCCACTTTAGTTGCCATGTCTGGTTCACTTGAACTGGAAATACTTCAATTGGAATTATTTTTGAATTCTTCAAAGTGGAAGGCCAAGCTTAATAAAAAGCAGAGGTTCATGGTTCTCTTAAAGTAATGAATATATCAGTAGTTAATATTCTTCCAAGTTAGTATTTGTTTGGACAAATACAGTGCTTACATTCAGCTTGTGTTTTTCAACAATCTGACTGATGTTACTGTATCTCTTTGCTTTTTCAGGCAAATTACTGCAGGAGAAGTAAAAAGTGACAAGAAGTACTTTCTAGTTATTACTTTTTCATTTAAACACCAGTGAGCTCACTGTAGGAACCTCCTCAGTTATTACCAGAAAGACAGATCATTTGTACAAACATGGCTTTAACACAAAACATTTTCAATGTGTAGACTATATGAAGAAAAAACTGAGATTTTTTTTCTGTGGCTGTTAATATCCTGAGTGCTATACTAGGTGCTTTATTTGGCACTAAAAGGTTTTGTGTAATCATCAACAAAGGGAATTTAGGATGACTGCAGCTCCTTTAAGGAGCAGTCGATTCACTTCATACAAATTTCATAAAAGTCAAGTAAACTAAATGTTTAATAAAAACATCTTAGGGAAAATATGTTCAGTATTTCAGTTGGTTGGGTGGTTGTTGTTACTATATGACATAAATGGCTACTGCTTGTTTCTCTTCAGCTGTGTGTTCTTCCTCACTATCACTTCTCTTTTGATAGGATGAAAAAGCAGAAGGATTCATTAGCTTGCCTGAGTTCAGGATAGACAGAGCAATTGAATGCAGAAAAAAACAGTAAGTAATGTGTCAACTATGCTTTTAAATTGAAGGATTGCTCTTGGAAGTATATTATATATAGTAGTGAAAACTCAGAAATCCTTGAAATCTGTAAGCAACACATCATAAGCCCACCTAAGCTTTAGTGTTTCTGTTCATTTTAAAAGATGTTACTTAATGTGAATTCTATGAGCCATCTTACAAAAAAATGGATAATGCTTTCATCAGCTTTCCAGATAGCCAAGCTCCAACTTTAGTTAAATAAATACAGGGGAAAAAAAAGTGAATGCATTAGCCAACAGGTAAAACTTAGGTTCGGTAGAGTCTTCAGGATAAAAGTCAAATGTGCAAGAATTACCATAGGAAATATCTTAAGAAAAAGCATAGCAAGGGCTGGTGAATATATAAATATATATTTATAAATCCAATATTGAGTTATTCTCAACTGCTAAAATATTTAGGTTCCAAATACAAAATGAACACTGTTTCAGTTTTTCTGCTGTGTATGTTTCTGCTACTGCATTATGTTCCCAGTGAACAGCATGTGTTAAACTTTGCCACATAATTAATAACAGGCACTGTTTGCAGGCAGTGTTGGGATTAGAATTCATAGCTGTCAAACAGTAAGTTTAATAATTCTAATGCTTTGAGACTAGCAGCTCTCCAGTATCTCCTGAATATTTGCAGGCAACATATAGATTTTTAAAACTTGCTACCCTCAGGAGCTACAGAGAATAGCTTGAAGATACTCTTACTAAAGCTATTCTAGTTATCACTAAGCATCTTGATTTTTTGTCGTGCTTTTCTGATGACTAAACTTGGTTTTGGTCTGAGGAATACATCCTACAACTATGAACATGCGCACAAGAAAGTACAGAAGATGTGAACTGCAGTAGAGGCTGCTGATTAGCAAATCGAATCTCTTCAATTGCTTGTTCTTGTCTGAAGGTGTTATTACTGTCTGAGAAGATGACAGTGCAGTTTATACTTATGATACTTCTTTCAACTGAGACTATCACTGAAGAAATTATACATGAACTGAACACTATAAATTCCTCTGTGGAACAAGTAGATATTAATAATAATATTGAACAAATATACAGGAAAAAAATATCCTTTTGTTAAAACACTTAACAAATTTCAGTGAATTAACATAGATTTAACAGTAGGTCATTGTGCACAGCTAGAAATAGCTTCCAGAGCTTTAATCTTAGCATTTCTTACAGAGCAATTTCTGTAGGGTATATGCACAGAAAAAGTCTGATTAACTAAAACTTTGAACACTACTGAAAGCTGAGTACCTCCAGGCTTTGAATACTTTCAAAAAGACGTAGGTCCAGGGGTAAAAATATAATGAAGATGTTAATAGTATTCCCATTGTTCACTGAGCAGAATTTTTCTTTGATTTTTTCCTGGGCTATCATTTACATATTTGCCCTATCATAAAAACTACATGTTACACTTGCTACCCTTTTACCTGCTTTTCCAAAGACTGAAAAGAAAGCACATATGGTGTTATATTCACTAACATTTCAGTATATTGAGTATATGTGAATGGCAGGACCTGCTTGTGTTACAGCTCTAAATTCATGGCCTCTATAAGTGCACTGATAAAGTATTTATCGATTCTCTTTGGTGTTGCCTTACTGAGGACATGACTGAGCATGATTGATATTGCCTGATTCTGCTGAGAAGCTAATGGTTCTGGTGAGCCTGGGGACAGAGTTCTGCAACCTAATTCTTCTGCATTCCTTTTGCAAATGAGGTGATGGTGACCCATTCTAAATGAACATACATCTAGAAAAACTATTCTTGTCTCTGCTGGACTACAGTGAAACACTTCAGCTAGGATTTTCTTGTCTCCTTTTAAGAGAGCTAGGGAAATATTTTGTAGATCTGTTCTTGCTTCTTTTCACTTTAGAATATATTTGTCATGTAATAATATTTCTTAGTAGGCGTTGTAATATGACCTGTTTCACTGCAAGCTTGAAATATGGAAATGTAAGTCTGATTGTGTCCTTACTTCTGTATGATTGAGTTCATTTTAACAGTTCAAAAATTAGTAAAGCTCAGTTAAAAAGGATGGGAAGAAACATAATTCTTTCCTATTTTTTAGGTAGGCTCTTACACTTTTACATTGATAAAACTTTCTGAAAGAGCACTTCGTTTCTTAGTACATAAATGAAGCCCAGCAAAATTCATATTAGGTTCTTTCAGTTCTCTCAAAAAATCTTTATGGTACTCAGCTTGGATTTCTCCTCAAATCTGTCTTGTTTTCAGAGCCAGTATTGTGAGATGTTCAAAGAAGAAGAGTTACCCTTTTGAACAAAAGAATTTGAAATCTTTCTAGAATAATGTCCTTTATTTTTAGATTTTAGATTGTCTTATCCAGCGTTCTATCAGATGGGAAATGCTGTGTTACAATGTGACTGTTACTGATGTCCATAGTGTACATTGAATGCAATAGTGTTAAGAAAGCTTTGACTAAAATATATAGTCATTGAATGCATTATCTGGTATGGTTTGATGATTTGCCTCACTAATGCATTTAATGAAGGTACTCTGATTATTATATGAATCATGGCATTATCTCAGACTGGTTTAGCTCCCCAGGCTATATTTGGATGTAGAATGACCTTGCCCCTGCTAGAGGTGCTTTCTTGTTTTCACGCTGATAAACTTTCCATTGCTTTTGGGCAAAGCCTACATCTTCATGATGTAGAATGATCATATTGTATTAGAAATTTTAGTTACTTAAGTTTTTATGTGTCATAACATGAATATCACATTCTTTTCAAAGATACTTATAATTATAATGTCCTGTGGTGATACTGTTCCACAAGATTAATGGAAATAAGGATATAATGGTTAATGTATTGACTGAACTTCCAAAAATTTAAAAAGTGACGATTTAGGTTGTCAATTCAAGTTGAAACAATGCAGCCAGAATTCTATATAAAATAAATGTAGACATTAGATTATCTTAAAAGCTGATACAGAGTCAGTAATTTTTATTTTTGTTTTCTGATAATTTTGCAAAATCTATTATGTGCTACAGTGCCTGAAATAGCACGGGGATTTGTGGCAGCGAGGAAGGGACTCACTGCAATTTAGGGAGGGGGTGGCGAGGGCAATGGAACTCAACTACAACTAGGGTTAAGGCTACAGCCCTTCACCTACTGTCCAAATCCACGTGTAGCTAAAGCGTTTCCTCTTCTTCAAGTGTAGCCATCCACTTTTAACTCAGAAGCACAGAAATAGCCATAAACACACCTTGCTTCTCGTCTGTGAGCCACTTATATTTTAAACTATAAGGATGTAGGATGATCTAAAGATGTAGGATGTTGTTCTCAGAGCAGTATTCCTGAAAACTGAAATACACCTCTGGCCCACATTAGATGACAGCAAAGAGGGGAGAAGAATTGATGCACTCAAGAGCAGGGCTGTCATTTGGGTGAATCTACACAGTCCGGGTAAATGGGTTGACAAAGGCCTTACGAAATCCATCAAGGAGATTGCAAAGTTCTGCACTCTGAAAGAGCAGGCCCCTGCTGGGAGCTTACTGGCTGGGGAACAGCTCTTCTGAAACAGGCCTGACAATCTTGGTAGATAGCAGACCAAACAGCATTCACTGTGTGGTGCTCCAGAAGAAGCCAAAGGTAAAAATACAGATATCATTCTTCTACATTATTTGTTTTATCCACATGCATAGAGTCATTTATCTGGAAACTTATTTCCAGTTTTTAATGTTAGTGTGTCTTAAAGCTTCTCAAGTAAGAGTCTTTGTGACACTTCTGGGAGATGGATGTATTGTTGTCCTTTGCAGCTCAGAAAGAGAACTGCAAAACACTTAAGTTTCCACAGACCTGGGATCCCCAGTTCATAAAAATAAAAACCCGTTTACTTCAGAGTATGGCATATATAACAGTACAGAATTACGGCTTATTTTGCTCACCATTTAAGTGAATTTAGGAATATATACATAAAAAAGATATTAATGAACATCTATGTAGTAAAGCAGAACATGAGAACTTTTGCAAAAAAAAGTCCATTCTGTACCTTAATTGAGGAAGGGCTCCTGTGAAAATATAGTATTCAAATTTACGATTACAGACTGTATCACATTACATGAGCATAGTGGAGATGAATTTAAGGTTTGTTTATCTGAAATCCTCTAACTATTAACAGGTTGACTTTAAGACTCTAATACTGACATTCTAATGCTTTTATGTATGTAAATTTCCTGTCTAGAAAAATAATCCTGTTTACAAGCAGAAACTCCATCATGTGATATTCTAACAGGATTAATCAAGAGGATTAGAATCTCTAGATCCACCACATAATCCCCTCCAATTCAAGTCAATGCTTAAATCTCAAGGTTGGGCAAATGGTTGGGCAAATGGAAGACTAGAAGGTCAAGATGTTGCAGTGTTCCAAATAACTGCAAAGAGTACTGACATCAGGGAAAAGAATATACCCATAAATAACATATGCTTAGGTCAAAAGCACTTGCATTAAAATCATAAAATTCAGTATATATAATTAACAATTGTATGCCATCTAGTGGGCATCAGTAAAGTTTCCTTCCTATTTATGGATTTCCCATGCATTCTCTCTTTTCATTTGCAATGTACAAGCTGCCTGTTATTTGAAATTTCTGGTGTTGGTATTTACAGTGAATGCCAGTAAATACGCTGCCTTTTTGCTTGCTTATTTTTTGTCAACTGATATTAATTAGTATTGATCTTTAATTAATTAAAATTTTGATCTTTTCATTAGAATGTCACATTTTTATAAGGGTCTTGTGACTTGTGACATGCTTTAAATCAGCAGAAGTAGAGATTAGGATCTTCACTGAAATTGTCAATTCATATGTCAAAACAATGCTTGAATATTTCTTACATCTTTTTGTGGATTCAGAATGTCTTATGATGACCTTCTGTGCAAAGGTAAACTTATCCTTCTAATATACATGTAAACTCATTAAAAAGGAAACTACAGAGAAATACAAATCTGCTACCTCATTCTTTTGCAAAACGTTTGTTAGGAAAACCTCTTACTGTATGCATCTGTATTACCAGTATATATAAGAAAATAGGTGTGCTCAAATCAAGTTTCTTCAGCTTTCAATCTCTGAAAATTGGAATTAATCATAGTCATTAATAAAACACTCATTTGCATTTAAGCTATTAATAGTGGGAAACATGCATAATCAGTTTTTTTTATAATGACATGTGTAATGATTTCTAATCTAATTCTTACATCTAATGATTACAATACAAAAGTCAGTATTTTAACCTAAATTCTATGTATGATAGTTGTTATTCTATTCTATTCATTTGCCAACTAATCAAAATGATAGTATTTAATGGTGTGAGCCTGTGGCTTCCTTGATAGCAATACTCCTTTAAATTATTATATTATTTAATTAATACAAAAATTGTCTGTCCTTAGTATTTCTTTGAGTAGAACAAAACTCACAGCCATATGTGAGAAAATATGGTGGCATCAAACTCATAGTCCTTTAGATTAGTTGACCTTTGAAACACAACCAATAAGTACTTAAATTTACTTGGTAAGGTTTTCAGGTTCATCTAATAAGTTTTTAATTTATAACATCAGCAGTTATTGAATGGATTTACATTTCTAAGTAGTTCAGGTGTTTCTGAAACTCATAGATGTAAATTCTGAAATGTAGACGTAAGCAGATCAGTATGAATCTGTCTGTAAGTTGTATTCAGCAAAAGACTCAGACTTGAGCATTCAAAAGGCCTATTAAGCTTGTAAAATGCTGAATAATTATGGTGCATACCAGTCTTATGTTGTCTGTAGACAATATCCTTGAAAGAAAAGATATTTTTTCTTCTTTGTGTTTGTTTTCTAGTGCCTTCAAAGCATGTCACCCCAAAATAAAGAGTTTCTACTTTGCAACAGACTGCCTTGAAGAAATGAATAGGTAAGTAATATATTCTTTTTCTTGACGCACCAATAATTGAAAATAATACTTAATCTCACATAGAAATGTGCTCCTGGAACATGATGTAATGCTGATCGATAGTGTTCTCCATGTAGTCCATTCTGGTCCTCCACTGGTTTTAGTATGTACAGCTTTACATTGTGTGGCTTATTTTGTTGGCTGCAATTTTTTGTCATGCCACCTAACACAATTCTGTAAAGGTGTTAGAAAAGTTAATCGTATGGGTCTCATCTCTGTTTATTAAAATTTTTGAGTTGTTTGTGACACTTTGTTGTTTTTTTTCTTGTTAAACACTGAAAATATCCTTATAGATATTATGCTCTAACAGTTTCTTGTACGTAAAAACAATGCATACCTATCAAAGCCTCTACTGAGAGTAACTTGCATCATGGAAAAAAGAAAAGAAGTAAAGAAAAAAGAAAAGGGAAATTTAATTTGATCCACTGTATCACTCTCTCAACAAAGCTAACAAAGTTGTATTGGTAGTGTTGCTGTGTATTGTCAAATGTCCTTGGTTGCGCAGGGAGGGCATTCAAGGCCCTGGACAACCTGATCCAAAATTAAAGTTGGCTCTGCAGCGGGTAGGCTGTGGGAACAGATGACCTCCTGAGATGTCTTCCAACCTAAATTACCTTGTGCTTCTATCCTGTGACTCAGTGATGAAGGCAGAGGCTAGATAAAGGTGGAGAAGTACCTGTGAGGATCAAAGACAGAGTCAAATGTTCTACCTCCCCCTGCTGCTTCAGGAATTTGTTTATTCACAGCCAGAGTAAAAAGCAAGGACACATGGGAAAACTCTGCCGTACTTCAAAGTCTTAAATCTTTCATGGCATAGACTGCTGAAACTTTGGGATTCTGTTAGTTTTCTCTGTTCGAAGACTTAGACTGAACTACCTTCAGGATACAGGTGGATTTTTTTCTGTGGAACAATAACATTGAGAGATAATTTTTAAACTGTATTGACACACAAGATTAGATGTATTGAAACAGTTCAGGCCTGTTCATCATTCACTAATGATGATGAGGAGGAAGAGGAGGTTCAGTTCTCAGGAGTATCTCACTGTAGCCAGATATAATACTTGGATGTAAATCTGCTGCAAAATATTTGTTTTCATTGTTAGCAGTGTTTCATCATGTGGTTATGTAATCTGGCTGAGATCTGTATTGTACAAAATTGAAGTGAGGAATCTTCTGCTACTTTTAAATATGCATGGTTTCTTCCTTAATTTTAGCTACTTTGATAGATATGATTTGTTTAACTGCCATTGCTCAGCTCTCCCTATTATACCATAAAATTTTCTGACTTAAGGAAAACCAGGAAATCTTGATGTACATTCAATAAAATATCCATTGATTTTCCTATACTAGGAGACAACACAGCTGTCTTTATGACAGTTTACAGCCTCTGTGGAGCATAACAGTTGGTAAGGTGCCAGGGTCTGTTATCATATCATACTGCCACAATAGTTTGGAATTAACTAGAGCCTTTTTTTTCCCTAACTTTTAGAATCTGTTTTCCATGAGAGAAGACAAAGAAGGGTGAAGTTTCCCCTTGAAAATTTTTTTGGCAGTATTTTTCCACCAGAAGTGTTATTCCAGTTGGGTAATTGTAATTCACTCAGCAACCCAAAAGATGGATTGCAATGCTTCCTCTGTAAAATCTCTGGGCATCCCCTGCAGCCTTTATATCCTTCCTGGAATTCCTTGTCCCAGACATCATGTCTGAAATTTGAATGGAGTAAGCAAGATTCATAGAAGAAAAAAAAAAGCACCTAAAAACCTGTTATCTTTCCACCAAACTGCTAACCGTGTAGTCTAAGGTAATATGGCAAATAGTTTATGTGGTATCTCAGAATTCTGCTGTCACCACAAAATTTAACTGGATTTTCCACATTTACACTGAAAAGTAAAAGAGTCTTCATATGTAGAAGAGGAAAGTAGCATTTCTTCATTCATGATATGGAGAATGTGTAGCCTTTTTTTCAGCTTCATTTACTGACAGCTTTTTTTTAACAGCTATTTATATTCAATTTCTTATTCAAGATTCACTGTTTTCTAGATTGGATTTTTTTTTAATCTGCAGAATATTGGAATCTGCCTTTAATACTGCATGGCTTTTGAAAGTACTATCCACTGATGGGTAGTAATTGATTTGTGCGTAGCAGATAGTGTTGTTCTTTTGCAGCAGAATTTTTGCCTGCTGTGTAGCATGTTGCAGACAGATTTTGCTTTGCAAAATTAATGCTCATGCTGTTTTGTCAGGTCTACATGAGCATAGCTGTGTTCTTAGAAATGAATTAATAATGAAATTGATGAACTCAAATTTTGCTTGCCACGGTCACAAGGTATTCCAAGCTTGTTAAAGCCTTATTTCACAGAAGTGCTTCATCTGTTCCCAGACCGTGTATAACCTATTTATAGATTTAATACTCCTAAGGAAATTAGCATTGAATTTAATTTTCAGTTGTTTTACAATGTCTATTTTATTTAAAATTTTCTTGTGATTGAAGCGTGCAGTTCATTTACAGTCTCCTTGTAGACTCCAAATGTTAAAGAAAGAAAAAGCCATCCTCCTGTTATAGGCTGAATCATTTGACCACACTTGCTTTGAATAACTGGGTTAACTTCGTGATATTAATAATTGCCATAAATCTTTGGCTGTCATTCAAAAATGCACTATCTGCTTAAGTCTAAAATGATGATAAATTGATTTTGGAGGAATCACTTCCAGTATTTTCCAAGATCTGAAAGTCTGTAAAACATTATTTCTCTTAAAAAGAAACTGCTTAAAGGTTGATATATTCTGAATTAAATTGCTATTGAATATAAGCGAATATCTTCTGTATTTACATATGATGTATAATAAGTGAGTTACTCCAAGCTTTCTCTAAACCATCTTTATCATTAAAGTTCATTCAGCTGTCTTCCATAAATTTGAGGCATGTTAGTGTCATTGTCAGTTCTTTGCCAGCTCAGATGGTAGACCAGTATTTGTATATGTATTAAAGGTCTTAATTTACTTTTAATCTTTCCTTATGAATAAGCTAACACCTAAGAAAAGATCTTGGCAACTAAAGAATTCTGACATGCACCCCTGTTGGACACTACCCCTTATGAACAAGTGAATGGAAGGCTATCCATGTCAGATCTGTCTGTCCTTATTTATAAGTTCTTCAAGAAAACAATCTGTGTAAGTTATTAAAGAGCTATTGCCCAGTGAAACTGTGGGGAATATGAAAGAACTTCACAGGTTGAAATCCCTGAAGTGGTGCCCACCAATTGTTGTAAATTAACAGGACAGCAGATTTTTCCCTCTTTTCTTTGTATCTTCCTACAGACTTGTTTCAAATTCAGGAAAAATGCAGTCACTCCTAAGACTACTTCAAACATCTAAATTATTGTGCTCACATAACAACTCGTAAGTTGCAGCACAAGTAAAAAAATACTTCTGATCAGAAGTTGCAGGCCCCAGTGGTTGGATGAAACCATTAGATATGTGAGAGTGAACATTGCAGTAGTACAGATGCAGCACTCAGTCTGAGGAAAATGCTGCACTAGAAAGTGCCAGCACAGAGCTGTATGTCTTCAAAGTCTCCCGTTTTGGGGGGGGGAGAGGGGAAGGGGGAGCGGAAGCCACTGAAGTCTTTCTTCTATGATTTATGGACTACTTTCCATAGACTTGTGAACTACCATTTTTCCCTTGACACAGATTGAGAACCACTGGTTTCTAGCAATACATTAGAGTTTATAGGAGTTTGCAAAACAAAATTGCAGTTACCCAATAAACAATCCAAATTAGCATTCAGGTGTGAATTTATCCCTAATGCACAGGAGCTAGGATTTGCATTGTCTGAAATTACAAAATTGACTTAATCAAATTCTGCTAGAAATTATACAACTGCGAATCGATATAGCTGTTCTGAGAGCCAAACAGTTCATCTGCATTTCATAGAGCAGTGTTTTTGAGAACAGTGCTGTACCTCCCAGTGATAAACGAACATGCATTATAGTCACATATTATGATATCACACTGGAAATACTAAGCCAACACTGCAAAAACTGGAATTTTTAATAACAGGAAGAAGTGGTGGATATAACTATATAAATCAGGCCTTTAGCAGTGTTATTTGGCCTGTTTGATCTGATTTATCTAAGAGTATGTGGAAATAAGATTTCAGAAATAAATCATCCCATTCCTTAACAATATTCTGCCTCCTGCCTCCAAACCCCAAAACCTCATCCATATCTTTTCAGGTCATACAAGGTGAATGCACATGAACATGCTGGAGCATCTGCAATGGCATAGTAAAGGAAGTGGTAGAAGGAGGCAGCAACTAGTACTTGCCTGTAGATGGATACCAAGAAAGTCTGGTGAATTACCCGCAGTAGTCTGGTAAATCTATGGGACAAGACTACATTAGAGTGAAATCTAGTAGCTGCATTTCACTAATGGAGACAATATTTTAGTTTCTTCTTATCTGATTCCTTTATTTACTTCACTGATTCCCTTAGGTATCAGCATGGCAATCCAAGTTCATCTCAGCAATAGCTACTTCTTTTGCTTTGCCTAGGCAGTGTTAGAGATGCTACAAATGTGTTTGGAAATGTATTTGAAATTTGGCAAGAGATGATCCAGTTGAGTGAGTTTCTCTGATGGTTCTGGTAGATTTCCTGAGGCTTTTATTTGAAATTGTAGTCTATCATAAAGTTATTGTGTGCATATTTTCTGTGTTACACAATTATATATATACAGTAAGGTGCTATTTTATTTATTGCCACAAGGGTTATTTATTTGCCACAGAAGCAGTGAATTTTATTGTCCATCATCCAGCAGGAATTAAAGACAAAAAAAAAAAAGAACCAAAACAAAACAGACTTCTGACCACAAAGGCCTAGATGTGCATTCAATTGACAGAGTGAAGATATAAAAAAAATTTGAAAATCCACATTAAGTGCATGAAGTAGATGCACACACAAAG